CTATCACTGATATTACATGTGAAAATACCTCAGCCGCTTCACTATCGCCTCATCAGGTCCAGAAAGATGTCAATGCTACTCAGACTCAGAGGAATCATGACGTGCAACGTCCAACACTTATCCGGCCACCTTTGGACCAATCTATTGATCAGATGAGTCAATCTTCGGATGAGGAATGATAGGTCTATACATCTAGGAGGAAGAAGAAGAATGAAGACATACTTGAGCTCAGAAATATGATGAATGATACTTTTGGTACTTCGGGTAATGATACGCAGTTTACCAATTTGTTAGTCGGCTCCATTCTGAGAACTAGAGACAGATGAAGAACTAAAGTGGGACGTCCCTAGCACCTTAGACTCTGTTGATGGATTTTTTGTTTTTTACCTTTATGTATCTTTGCTTCTTTGGGTTTTTGTGTGTGTTGTATTGTGTGAGTTGGGTTTTATTTTAGGTTATCTCATACAACCTATATGTACCTTTTCTTCTTTAATATATTAGCCATTGGGCTTTATCTATATATATATATATGTATATATATATATACGTAAATTAAAAAGTCCTTCCGAAACGGGTAACGGGATTTCGATTCCGGTTGCCGACAGCTTCTTACGGGCGACCCCCCAAACAATCTTTAACTTTCCTCTTTTTTGTGCCGACAGAAACGCAGAGAAAACCCGAAGAAAGTAACAAAAGAACAATAGAAAACCGAAGTGGACTATAAAAATTCAGGTTCGGGTGCGCTCAGATTTCAACATTTTCGAGGGACTCCGAAGGCAACCATTAGTCATCCAAGTGTATAAAGCCCGACATTCAACTAGAAATTTCCAACAATACCAACTTAGGAGGGTAATTCTCAACCTAATACAAGTAATTAACTAGTGGACAATTAGATTATATTACTTAAAGTTTATATTTTGTCATGTATATAGACTTCATGCATATAAGAAAAATGAATATCTATTTTAGTAGTCAAAATATTTTGTAAGTAATGTATATGTTCTTATCGTTGTATTTTATAAGTTCAATTGTCCTCGAGTCGATTACACTGTCGGGCTAGGATCGCCAGCAGCCTAAGAAGGCAATGACCATCGCTAGTCTAGTGTTGGTGAATAATACTGTCATCCTACATTTTCACTAGGTCCCTGGGTCGGGTCCTGATTTCGTAGGATGCTATATTATTATGCTCTACCAACAGATGCATTTGTCATCATGGCCCTAAAACCTTAGAAAGAACCATCCAACTTATAGTCTTGCTTGATGTTTCATATGTAGTCAGGGCTATATGTGTGCATTTATGTTTTAGACATAAGTACTTAAATCAAACAAAGAAGCAATGAAAGAAAAGAAGAAAAATGGGGTGAGAAAGAGGAGGAACCAATCCACCTGAAAGAGCTAATTTGAGCTAATAGATATTTGTGTGTGTCGGCTGTTCGAATTGTGACATTTTGTGTGCGTGAATGCACCGAATGTATTAAAGTCATTATGGGTGTCCTAAGACTTTTAAACCCTATAGGAACTCTACTCGGGCTCCAACGTATTGGTCCTAACCACTCAACCCAGTGGTGATGGTACATGATCTTAGCCACTCAATCAGGTGGTGACAGCACGAACTCATAACTACTTGACCAAATGGGGATGGCTTGGGACCACTCTTGTGAGGCTCCACAAATGAGTTGAGAAATGGTTTGAGTTTCTAAATGATTTGAATTCCGTCACTAGTCCTCTAAGATAGTCTATAGGAAGGTCTTATGGCTAGATCGTAGGCTCTAGAAGAAAGAGTAAGGAAGACCTCAAAATGAGGTCAATAGGCAACTAGTTTTTCCTTGTGGAAAATATGAGTCTTTTCAATTCCCTCACGACTTCATGCTCTCCAAAAGAGTTGACGATTCACTTTCACATTTAAGTATTTATTTGCTAATTGATTCGAGTTGCAAGAAATCCTGAACAGGGTGTATTTATCTCAAAATAATACATTTATTGAATAATCCTTGTAACAAAAATGAAAAAGAGAAAGAGAAAAATGGTTAAAAGTGGAATAATATATAGGATTATTGGGGTTGTAAATTTTTTTATTTAATTAAGCATCAATTCTGATACAGAACTCATATTTCAAGGCAATTTAAAAGAATTAAACCAATGACAAATTTTACTTGGGATTGATCAAATTAGAGATCAAATAAACTTTGAATGGCACAATTGTTTTTTACGTGTCATTACAAGTTCGTCCTCTCCAAAGTAGGGTGCATTTGACCCTAGAAGGCCTGCAAGTTAATTGGTTTAGGGTATGTTGGCATGGGCTACTTTGGTTAGTTGTCGTTATTTAAAGTAAGGGGGTTGTTATGTCCGAGCCTGAAAGTTTGGAATTCCTTGGAGAGAATTGATGTTACGATTGAAAACTTTTCTTTAAATAACCTTTATCAAAATTGTTAAACATAAACCTATCTCAAAAGTGCCATTTAGATCGAAAAGTTATATTTATAAATTTTTCATATGATACTTTATTTTCTTCTTTTAAAACATGCCATTTCAAAATCTAACTCGCACAAAAATTTATTGCAGTACCTATCTCCGGCTCATTCTCATCAAGTATAAACAAGTTCTTTTCTTTTTGCCCATTTAATTCAAGCAGATTTTCCTTAAAAATGTTTATGAACTGTTGTGTGAATTAAATAACTTAATGGCTAAACACATTTCCTAATGCATGAACTAAAATTCAATATGCATATGAAAATTTGTGCTTCAATTATAAATGTTTCTCATGCATAACTTCAAATGAAGTATATTAGTAACTTCCTTTCAATAAAATAAGATAGTTATCACATTTTTATTTTTCGTATCATTTTAATTTTGTAATATTTTATTGAATGCATTCATCACAGGAGCACGTCTAACATTACATTTAAAATATAGTCCTCTCAATATCAAATCTAACCTATAATGATAGATAATCATTTTTTATATGGTTATAAGTGCCCCAGCCATGGTCATAAAAGGGTGGCTCCATTTTTTAGCATACTCGTTACCAATATTCTTATATAATATATTTTTTTTGCATTTCTTTCATTAAGCATTTATTTTAGATAATATCTTTTGTATATCATTTAATAAAATAATTATTTGAAATGTGGAAAGTACTAATGATACATCTGTAAATATACATGCCATACATACATACATACATATTAATCAAACCACTTTAAATAATAATTTTTATCAAATTTAAGGATGCATTCAATAAAAAAAGTTTGATTATTTGAAAATACCCTCCCTCCTTTCTAAAAAATGATGATATCAATAATAAAGTGATAACAGAATACTCAAATAACTTTAATGCTTGTGAGATTGAGAGACCAACTAGAGATCTGTAGTTGTTATAAAATAATCAAACTTAAACCACTTTTAATAATAATTTTTATCAAATTTAATGATGCATTCAATAAAAAATAATTTTTGATTATTAAAAAATATCCTGCCTCCTCATCCCTAGAAAAAATGATGATATTAATAATGAAGTAAAAAAAGAATACTCAAATAACATGCATACTTGTGAGATTGAGAGACCAACTAGAAATTGAAAGATGGACTCAATGTCAAATAAGTGTGAAGATGTAGTGAGAATCATGCATAGGATACATCATGAAATATTTCAGAGAAAGCTATGAGCAAGAAGCTACTGGTGTGAGTGGATCGAATCAATGAGAAGCATATAATAAATTAATGGCGAGAGAACATGAAGAGAAGCACCATAAAGCGACAAGTTACCATAGGTGAAAGCAATGACCCAATGAACGATGACTTAACGATTATGAGAGCCATTGAGGCTAAGTGAATGTTCGTGCTCAAGTTATTGCGAGAGATGTTGAACTGAACATGAAATATGAATCTAGATTTTGTTTTAAACCAATTTTGTAGTCTAAGCTGAATGCACATCACTAAAATGTGGAGCAACAAAGTGGTCAGACGAATGCACTTTGCTTCGATCTTGCTTTTGCGTCAAGCGATACTGAATTAGCACATCGTTTTACTTTGCTTCACTCCACTCTCTAATCATATTTTAACAACACTGAGGCTGGTCATATAATATTTCTCTGATGTTTTGGCAAGCATTATATTAAACAAGTGTGTTGAAAAGACCTGTTATGTCTCAGCAGTTTTCTCAAAATGATTATTATTATTTTTGGAAACGAAATGATTATATTTGTTTATTGTTGAATTATGCCGACCGTAGGCTGCAACTCATTGTGGGATTTTTGGGAAGAAAAAGCTGTACATTACTGTTGGAATGTGCTATAGTACAAGTCGCAATGATAGTGTTTTTAATGGGGTTGTGAGCTAATGTCTGACTGACAACTTAAATTGCTTTAACAAGACTCTTGAAATGTTGATCTTTCGCAGATGTATATTAAGGATATCTCGAGTTCCATTTAGGTAGCGTAATTGAGTATTGAAATTTAGTTTTATATAATTCTTCTTTGCATTTTAGATTTCTGTGTCTTCACTGCAGCGATAAAGCTATCAAAAATGGTAGTAAATACTTGAAGAGTTTGAAGGCCTTTTATTACAATCAATTTTTTTTCATGCATAGCAATGAGGATAGATCAAAGTTCATGGTGAATTATGATATCTTGTTTGGAAATCTAATTGATGTTCCTTATAAATGTTCTCTCAACGAACCTTTAAATTCACATTCCACATCAATTAATCTAGAAATCACTTTTAAATTCATTTGCTGAAACATTGCTAATATTGTTATTTATAATAATTATGATTTTTGTAATATATTTATGCAATAATAGCTCTTTTTTTTAGTAATTTGATTACAATAGTTTGCACGTTATGCTAATCCAACTTTTGTTTTTTTTTTTTTTTTGCTATTCAAGAAAATTTAAAAACAGAGAACGTGACCGCCAGCAAGTTTTTAAAATGGATAAGAATTGCTGCCTAAAATTTCTGACGCCTCTGTTTGATGATATAATTGTTAATTTTTTTGTTTGCAGGTTAATTTTGAAGATACCTGCAAAGGTTTCCTTGAGGTTGCAAAGGTATGAAAGTTTTGTGTGTGTGTGTGAATGTTGCAACTTTATAGCAAATTTATGTAAATTTTGGGAATTTGATGTAACATATATATGTATAATCTGTGATATGTTGCATGCATGTTTTCATCGTTTGTTTTCTGCATCGTCACACTTCGCATGAAAAAAGTTCTTGATGGAACATTCTATCTTAAATATTCATTGGAAATCTTTTTGTTTATAATGTAATGTTTTATTTTTAACTGTAGGAAGCTGTTCACCAAACTGTTAATGTTATATTTGAAGATCCAGGTGTTCAGGAATTACTCGTAAAGCTTTACCAGAAAGGTAATTCTTTGGACTTTCGTAAAGTAGATGAATATTGGAGCTTGCTGTTCACTTAATTATGTATGATAATTTGACAAAAAGGCCAACTATTATTGGATAAATAGCTGCATGAGGAAGTGATAAGAATTGGAGAGAATTTGTTTTGCATTTAATTCCATCATTTGTGCGGAATTCATAAAAGTATTAGGGAACCTCTAACAACATGCGCACAACAATTAGGAAAGAAACTATTTCGTGAAAATTAATTACAATTAGGACAATCCATGAATTAATGAGGTGGAAAGAATAATCCTAGAGTTCAATGAGGTAGCATGAAGTGAACGAGTAATGTGGTTGACACTACTGCAATTTGGACTATCATGTAGGAGTTGAAATTGATGGAACTGGATTTTTTTACCTTTTTGTTGAAGAGAATGAATGATGCCAAAACTAGTTCGGAAATCGCGGAAACGCAGAGCAAAATTTTCATTAATGTAGAAATAGGGGTACAACATGACACCACTGGAAAGAACAATACAACGACACTATGCTCCGGCTAAGGCCAGACGAGAGGACCCGGTGCGGTGGTGGCGTCGGCGAAGTAGTGCGGGGACGGGGAAAAGTTGGAGGTAGCGTGGTAGTTTAGAAATGGGGATTTGGTAGGAGGGACGGTGGCTGATTTGATGGTTGGAGGAATGGGGTGGCAAGGAAAGTGGTTGGAAAGGCAAGGGTAGGTGTTGGGTGCTGGTGGGGGTGACCGAGACAGCAAGGAGGGCTGCCTGGAGAGGCCGGCAGGATGCAGATTGGTGGTCGGAGGGCTGGACAGCAAGGTCCGGCTGCAGGGGAAGGGAGGACGGGGTGTTGATAGGTGGATGGGGAGGGCTGGAAGTGGGTCGCAGCACAGGGAGGACGTGTTGGGGATGACCGACGGCTAGGGCGAAGGTAACAGGAGGATTAGAGAAGGGGATTAAGGAAGATACGACACAACCTTAGAGTAGGATGCAGTCGGAGCACCACCACCTCCTCGGATACAACCCTAAACTAGGGAAAAGACTTCACACAAGAAATCTGAAAGCAAACACAGCAAGAACTAACCCTAATTCTCTGAAACAACAACAATATATAGACCCCAAGTGGGGGAAAAAGGAAAGAAATAGGAAAGAAAACTCCCACACAGGAGGAAGAGTGGGAATACTCCAGAAAATAGTCATTAAAAGCTTTTCAAAAGGGGAAGAGCAAAAGAGGAAGGGAGGTGGTCCCACTTTCTCCTCGGTGTTCCCGATCCTTCTACCCTACTCCTGTGTGATCGCATTTCTTGATAGGTCCCCTGGACGTTTGAGTAATTGGCCAGCCGGTTCAGCCAGTTGGCATATTAGCGCCCCGCTACAAGGGGCGTTGTTTGGCACTCCGCGTCAACGAATTTATGTTATTCATTTCTAGCTTGCATGTTAATTTTTGAAATATTATTTATAATAATATTTTGGTGAGAATATCTGTCAAATACTTATTTATGTAACAAACGAAGCAAAGATGTCATGACCAGACCCGAAAGTTTAAAGTTATCAAGGTAGGAACAAATAGTTGGTGTATAGAGGTATACTATTATAAAAATTAAAATAATAACAAAATATCTTTTTTATCATTAAGAGCCACTAAACATCGGTATTTTAGTTCGCATCCAACTGACAAGTCTTATGTCATAATTTAATAACAAATTTTAAAATAATCTATAACTTTTTTATTAGTACATATTTTCATTTGTTCATCTTCTTTAATATACAAAAGGGTGTTTGGTAGAATAATTTTATAGAATTTAGCCATGGATTTAACTCAAATTCAGCCAAACGCAACAAACAAAAAGAAAACAAAATCTAACTCTGTTAATCTGAATTTATCTCTATTTTGTCTTCTCTACAGCCATTTCGTCTGCAAATTCGGATTTACCAAATCCCATAGAGAGGCAGATTTGTTGAATTTACGTTACCGTTGCTTGAGACCTTCGCTCCCGTCACGAGCTTTCACTGGAAATCCGAATTTGATAAATCCTCCTTAGTGTAAATTCGATCGTGCAGCCAACCACCCCCAAAATTTCTCGTCTGCTAATTATGCTAATTAATTTATAGAAGATTTTTCTGTATTAAGGACATTAAATAATAGGCTAAGTTATACAATAGTTTAGTGGATAACTATAGTTCAATTATATGATAATCTTTATGCATATGTTATAACCTGCATATAGATCTAAATGATTTAACAATAACATTCCATTTTATTTAAAAAAATAATCATTTAATTTACGTTTCATTTAAGTAGTTATCTCATGAGCATCATCAAATATTGCATTATTCAAGGTACATCTAATTTGATTTTCTCTTCATTTTACTTGTGTGATTACATTAGCATCCTCAACTCATACCATAATGGGTTGGCTCCTTCAAAGGACTTCATTTCATTTATTTATCATTACATGTATTTCAATTTTTTAAATCATACTTAAATTTTGAACATGTATTTCAATTAATTTATAGAAAATTTTTCCGTATTAAGGACATTAAATAATAGGCTAAGTTATACAATAGTTTAGTGGATAACTATAGTTCAATTATATGATAATCTTTATGCTTATGCTATAACCTGCATATAGATCTAAATGCTTTAACAATAACATTCCATTTTATTAAAAAAAATAATCATTTAATTTACATTTCATTTAAGTTGTTATTTCATGAGCATCATCAAATATTGCATTATTCAAGGTACATCTAATTTCATTTTCTCTTCATTTTACGTGTGTGATTACATTAGCATCCTCAACTTATACCATAAGGGGTTGGCTCCTTCGAAGAACTTATATATTTATTTCATTTATTTATCATTACATGTATTTCAATTATTTAAATCATACTTAAATTTTCAATGTGGATGCAAATATGTGAAACATTTTTCTTTTTTTAAACATATGATAATGATTGTGATTATAAGAAATACTGATGTTCAATTAATTTGACAATGACTATGGTGATCCAAACATTTTCAGTAGTGTCTGTGTTTTTAAGCTTAATGACTTTTGTGGGTAATGGATTTATGATCTGAGTGACTGTTAAATTAGTTTTTCTCTAATATTATTTTGGGATATTATTTTAAAAATGGTAGTATGCTAGCAAGCAAGGGGGGCATTTTTGTGTTCATCTGTAATTATTATTATTATTATTTTGAAATATGAGGGAAAATGGTATACACTGAATTATTGGATTTGATTCTCTTAATTTAACACTGCATTGATTTTTATCATGTTGTAAAAGGTGAGAAAATGACACTTATATTACTTTTGGCTCTTTTTGAAGATTCATGACACATGAGTCCAACATGTTTTTCAAAACAAAATGCCATTGTTGTAACATGGAGAATATAAATTAGATTCATGGAAACAACCTTTTTGTAATGCAAGAATAAGACTTGCATGCATAAACGCGTCTTCAAACCCTTCTTTGGTATTAGCTTCGGTATTAGCTTCATGCACTAGGCACGGTTGCTTCAGTAATAGGATCTCCCTTTTAATGCAAACACATTTTGATATTTTAAATTGCAAATAAAGAAATTGAGAGATCAAGTCTGAGAGCAAGACTTACAGAAGGGAGCATTCCAATGAGCGTGAGATTCACAGATTGAGGTTGAGATTGAGACTGAGATCAAAACTTACAGAAAAGGGCAGTCAAAGTTGGGAGAGAGGAAACTTCAATATTGGACTTAAGATCTCTTTTATTAAAAAAAGCCTTGGGAGTAATTGCCTAAATTCCCCCTTGAAATAAACTCAAAAGAAGTTTATAGGAAATAAAATTACAATAACTAGAAGAATATGTATTATGCCCCCTAAGAGATCAGCTAACTAAACTTGTAATGGTCACCAATCTTTATTAATCACATATTAAATCATGGTCGAGGGTAGTCAATTAACCATCAATTATCTTATGGTACAAAATTTGTCTTCATTTTATTTAATGCATTCATTAAGTAGACTGGCATGAAAACGTCAATTTTAATCATTTGATGTCCACAAATCATCAATTGAAAGAAGATCTTGCTAATGATGAAGTAATGTTGCTTAACTGAGGAACCTTAAACTCATCAGATGACATGAGTGAGAGATTTGCAGAAGATGACTTAGGAAAGAGGACTTGAGAAGGGGGGGGGGAGAGAGAGAGAGAGAGAGAGAGAGTTACGTTTTGTATAGAAGGCTTAGGGAAAAGTGGTCTACGAGCATTTGAAGGAGAGAACGAGATTGCAAGGAAAGGCATGAGTGAGTTATTGTTTCAAAATTAAACAAAAAACCTATCATTAATTAAACAATATGTCCTATGGTTTCTTTTCAAGATAGCCTCTTGGGATCAATGACATGAGTTTCCCCTGTTGAACTATACTCTATTGAAATTTAGAAAAGAAAATTTAATATGTTTTGATCATATGTTATTGATCCGACAACACATCAACTAAAAAGCTAATAATGATTACTGTGAAATTATGCTCCTTATTATTATTATTCTATTTAGTACTTGTTATATTTAGTCATAGTATAATTCCTTAATTATTGATATTTATGTTATTCCATAATTATAGGAATTACTTTATTGTAGGAAGTTCTTTTGTTTCTCTTCTTTTGTTTCTCTTGTACTCACATATTTATAGGTGAATTATCTATGTATTCAGTGAGACAATGTTTATTCAAAACTCACATGGTATCACAGACATCAAAGAAAGCCTCTCGCTCGATCACGGCACTTCTCTCCGGCGGTGATTGCCCTAGTTTGCGCCTACACCGAGCGCCGCTCCTCATCTAGCAATCGCGCCTCTCTCCAATCGTCCGCGTCCGACGATCGTTCGGCTGCAATCCCGCGTCTTCCACTCTCCCGCGATATCCCGCGATCGTCTGCAATCCAGCGATCGTGAGCGACTGCATCTGCAATCCAGCGATCGTGAGCGACTGCATCTGCAATCCAGCAATCTTATTCCGCGATCTCCGATCG